GGGATGGGTGGATGGATGGATGGATGGATGGGTGGACAGATGGATGGATGGACAGATGGATGGGTGGATGGATGGATGGGTGGATAGATAGATAGATCTTTTTTTATTAGCCCATGTTAGTATAAATTTTATACATTTTTTTTATGGAATCCTTTAAGGTTAGAGTCAGGATTTTTTTTTAACAGGTGTAACATATGGTGGTGTTATTTTATGGATTGTATTTTTACTTTTCCCTCTCCTGTGTTTAGTCTTATCAATTGTGACAGTTTATATTTACATGGTATTACGATCTTTGATCAATGCACATCTTAGTGCCTTCATACATTCACCCTCAGTTCCAGCCTGACAAGTGTCCTCCCTCAAAGACCATGGTTGTAAAACCTCACACACACAATCACACACACTCACACAGACACTGATTGAGACTTAGCGTTAAGAATGCAAATGAGAGCCAGACTAATGAACAGGCCATGGCTGATTGGAAGCTGATTAATGAGTATTGACACACACACCCAGACGCACACACACACACACACACACACACACACGCACACACACACACACACACACCAGCGCAGGCTGAAGGTGGTCAACTGTTCATGACTAGACTTCTCGGAAAAAAACTGAAAACAGAAAAACTGTATTTGCTCAGGGACCAACACAGGTGCTAACAGCTAACTAATGAGTTTAACTGCTAATAAATGACTGAATCCATTAGCCTAAATGCTAATTCCTCACTCTGAACAAGCTTGTTCTGATTGATTCTCACAATCATTAAATACAGAGAAAAGAAGGAAAGAAAGAAAGAAAGGGACAAAAGAAAAAGAAAAAGAAAGAAAAGTCATATATTTTGTCTTCATTATGCAAATACAAGTTATTGTTCAGCCATTTAATTACCAATAAGAAGTCTTCCTCTTATGAACTAATAAGGCCATTTACCCAGAGCATAAGTCATCATTAACACCGTTCACTTGTCAAAGCAGCCTCTTATTTTGAGCTGTAGCTCAGACTTATCGACGCTTCAATAATTATGATGATAGATTCATCAGCTGTATGCAGTAATGTCTGTTTGCATTGGTGAGTGTGTAAGTGTGTGTGTGTGTGTGTGTATGTGTGTGTACACGGTAGCTTATTGATTGACGTGTTCAATAGATTAACTCCATTTACCCAAGTGATTAGCCTTTTTTTTTGTCCTGTTCTCACAGAACTAAATATCTCACAGCTTCACGAGGATTTAAATCAAAATGACAGACGCTGAAAATGCACATTTACAAAACGACTAATGACAGACGCTGAAAATGCACATTTATAAAACGCATCACCACGTTGAACTGAACACGTTAATGGATAATGTAATAAAAATGTAAAAATATAAGATAAAAACCATTCAAAAAAGCACTTTGAATGATCTGTTGTGTGACATGTTTCTGCATCCAGAAAAATAAACATAAAAAACCAAACATGATTTGTCTTTTGTGGTTGTCAGCTGTATAAAAGGGATATTTTAGCTGGACATTGCTGGAAGTGTATTGTGACTGATTGTGTTTGTTTCATTACTATAATTACACTGTCATCTGAAAATGACTGCAGAGTGATGTTAAAATTATCCATATCCAATCTGGGGTTACTCTGCGACGGTCAAAAGAAAGAAATATTTTAAGAAATTTGTGTTGTTTTTTTTAACCTTTGAAAAAACTGACTGGTGATAATGCTGCTGCCACATTAGAGGCGTCATTTTGTTTAATTTACATATATATCTTCTTAACTGCTTATTATCAAAGTGGCCCGTGGCTTTCATTTTTATTTCTACTCGTAGCACCAGCTGTTCAAAACCCAAAATATGAATTAAACCTGCCGAAACGCCAACTTTGTAAAACCAAAACCTGGCTAACCTACAGGACAAAATAGTGAGGAAATTGAAAGATTCTAAATTAATTAAGAAGTAGTTATTAATTAGCCCAGGAGCTAATGGTCAATAAAAACAAGTGATTGTTTTTGTCAAAGACTAACTCACTGATGCTCCTACATCAGGATTAAGATGTCAAGACTTCACCGGAATTGAACTGACTGCTCCTTCAGACATTACCAGGAGAGAGACTGTTAACGAGAGGTGGAAACCACAGAGACTTTCCAAGGATTGACTAGAAAATCTAACAGCATGAGGAGTAAAACCACGAGTTGTATGTTGTTTTCACTGTTACCAGGAATCTCTTCACAGCAGTTAAACTCTGTGAAACTTCACACATATCACAGACACACACTCAGACACAAAGGGAAAAGTAGGACAACGGGCCAGCGAGGGTGAAAGTGAGAAACCCATGATGCGGTCGTACTTTATTCTCTGCCTGCTAATTCACGCCTGTGTGGAGATCTCAGACATCCTCACACGGGGGAAATGTGGCAAATCAGCAAAGTGCGTTTCTTTAAATACAGCGAGCAGCAGTTTTAAACACGATTTTTTAAGAGCCAAATTTGGCCCGAACACATTATTATTTATAGCCGTGGCCTTGGGGAGCAGTTGTCACAGCGGGAGAGAAGAAGACAAGGAGTAAAATTCACTCCGCGTACAACCTCCACTGTGTCAGAGACTGATTTTCCATATCTTACATTTTTTATACAGTTTTTCAAATCGAGTGATTTGCATTTATGTCGCGCATAAAAAAAGTTAAACATCGTGTTTAAAGGCTTGTATTCACTGCGTTAACTGCTGTCGTTTTTTTTTTTTTTTGCTGCAAGTCGGCATCTTTCACAGATGATGGCACTTGAAGTTTAACTGCAGGATTTTCAACACGATTGCAGTCTGCTGCGGCAAAGATCATTACAGCTGATGCACCGCTGCTTCACGATGGTGATTTTACTCAGTTGTACTCAAGAGCAGGAGGTGAAGAGAGCTATAAGAGTCAGACTGTTTCGTACAGTAAATGAGGATTACATCATTTCTGTAAGGATTTTAAAAAACTTTTTCTAAAAAAGCAACAAAAACTCCAAACTGTGAATTGGCTTTAATTTTTAACATCATTTATGAAACAGACGGACAAAGATTTTTGTTTTAAAATTACTACTTTTGTGACACATTTTGTTAATGCTGGCAACCAAGCCAGCAAAAGCGTAGCAGTTTGTCAGTAGTTTCACACCAAGACATTCTAGGGGAAGTTGATGAAAAATAAATAAATTATACATAAATAAATAAATAAAATTAAACATTAAGAAATATAAATTAAAATGATGTTTGGTGCGGTGTGTGTTCTCACCAGAGTCACCAAAATGCTGCTAGAAGTCATGCATATTCAGCAGCAGTTTCCATTAAAGGCCTTTACATACGGCGACTTCCACTAACTTTATACTTTTTAATGTAATGTTTTAATGTTGACATTTACCTTAAAAGCTCAACAGACATGAATACTTTTTTATACCTGAAAATTCCATCCACAGTTAATTAACGAATCAAAAATGTTTTCTTTACCATATACTGTAAGTACGAGCAGGAAAACTCCATATAAACATGTGTATGTTTACCAACTAGATTTAGGTGTGTCAAAATAAAGTTTCCTGTGAAAAACCAAACTCACAGAAGACTGTATCTGTCAAATATTTACTTTTATCTACTGACCAACTTTCTTGATAAGAAAAAAAGCAAATACTTTGGGCTTAAATTCAATAGAAAGAGATTAAATCCCTGGAGACCTATCACAGAAGATTTATAGAATTATACAGTATATATTTTATTGTAAGATGCCCATTAATCATTTAGACATACCGCTGTGTTTCTGTTATATTTACAAACAACAATACAATTCAATTTTGCTGGAAAAACTTTGGAAAAACTGAAAACAACCACATTGATATTCAGAACAGGAAGTCCGTCCTATAGGCGCGCCGTGTCTCTACTGTTGAAATAGCCCGCGGGGGCGTTAAAAGAAAATGAAAATATATTCTAGAGCATTATTTATATAAAATTAAATGTTGCTGCTATTTGATTATGACAGCTTCAAGCTGAGCGGAAGGGCACCCGGCGCCACATGTGATCCCTAAGTTCACATTAGTTAATGTGTCAAAGGCAGACGCAGTGAAGGAGACGGAGAAACAAGGTAAGAGGAGGTGGGGAGGGCGGGTGAGGTGACAGCATTTATATATGACAGGAACATTATTAGAGGTAATGGAAGAGGAAAAAGTGAGGCTGGAAAGAAGGACTTTAGAAAAAAAAACTCTATTATATACAAAACTTTTCAAGTCATTATATGACGCCGTAGTTATGACGCACCGTGTTCGGGCAGAGACCGCTAAAGTTTCCAAGATGTCACACGCCACCCTGTGAGTGTGAAAACAACTGCCTTAATTATGGAGGTGTGAATCTGCCTGTGCCTGGCTGGTGGCTCCTGATACTACAGAGAGAGAAGTGAGAGGACTGCATTAATCTCCTGCGACTAATGAGAGCGAACGGCGTCTGCATTCAAATCTCTGACTGATGATTTGAATTTATTCATAAGCAGTCGTGTGTTATTAATCGGTTCTGGGTGCTGCAGAGGTCTGAGTTTGTGTTAGGAGCAACAAGAGAGAATGAATCACACTAATACAAGACGGCTCAGATCACGGTGCTCTGATGTGATTACACAGATACATATTTATTGCATATTTCTTCAACGCTGCGCCGGTCGCCCTGGAGATTTTACTTTCCCCTAAACCCTTCGAAGGCTCAACTTTTATTACATTTCAAAAAATATATATTAGTCTTTTTTTTTATTGATCCTTTGAGAGACAGATAATGAACACACCTTAGCCTTAGTCTTTCTTAAAACTGGTTAGAAAGTTAGAAGTTGACATCTTCCTATTGTCCTCCTTGGAAACTACATTACCAACGTCAGATCTTCACCTTAACGTTCAATAAATAACATTTAATCAATCACTTGACACGACTTTAGAAGACCCCGTAGATAGCGATGACTCAGAGAAACTCTTCTTTTTGACAGACAACGGCAGACAGCGAATAAATAACGACTTCAGACGTTTCGGACTGAGCCATTCTTATTAGCTTTATTATGTCTGGGCACAGACCTCGGTGTCTGGTGTTGCAAAACTAATCTCATACTGCAAGTTAGTTAAAGGTGAGACAGAAAAAAAACTTTAGAAAGTCACTGAAAGTCTGAGAAATCCTGGTTAAAGCTGAAGTCAGATGGTATGAAGAATACATTTCACTGCGACTGTAGTTATTCAGAATGTGACCTTAAACGATATATATATATATATATATATTTATATATATATATCCCTGTTCCCTGAGAGATCAAGTGTGCCGTGTCAAGCTATCCAATATCACTTTATTGGTCTAAAATCCATTATTTATTCATCACATTAATATATTAATTTAATCTCTTCCACTAGGTTGCAGTAGATGGTTATAAAAACTAAGAAAAAAGAGACGAAGATGAAGAAGATCTTTGCAAGTGATTTCTTCCATTCCTGAGAGTACACCGGGGTTGTGTTCAACTTAACAGGCCAGGGTTTTGTAGGGTGTGTGTAAATACTCGATAAACTAAAAATAGAATATTTATATTATATTCATTGTTAAGGCATATTTATTTTATTCCATATACTTTTTAGGATGAACTGTGGGATTTTCATTAAAAAAAAAACAAAAAAAAAAAAAAAAAACATTTTTGGGATCGTGAAATCATCAGTCATTATGAAGTGTTCACAAACCACAAAAAACAATGTGTGTGTTTGTTGATGCATGTGCGTGTAGGTGTTTTGTTCACCTGTGGGCGGACACTGTAATGTTCAGTCATTATGCATCGCTCTAGTCTGAAACACATCCATTAGGGCGTTTGTGCTGCCGCTGGTGTCTGTGCATGCTCACCTGTGGGCGGATGACTCTCTCAATGTTCTTCAGGGCTGTGTCAGGAGACGGGGGTGAGCAGTCTGGAGTGGGGCCTGTTAAGCAGTTGCCATGGTTACTGTGCTCCCCTTCACTCACTGCTACCTGGGACGAGTGACCTTGTAAGGAGAGAGAGACAAAGAGAGAGAGAGAGAGAGGAAGAAAGATGTAAGATTCTGTTATCCTTACTGTACTATATGTAAGATTCTGTTATCCTTACTGTACTGTATTTCACCAAGTAAAGTGTTTTCATCAGAAAGGAAGAAGAAAAATGACAAAAGAAAGGAAGAAACTTCTGAATGATAGCTATGAAACATATGTTTATTATTTCTCACGATGGGGCGTTTAATGATCTGGTGAATTTAAAGCAATTTTTTTAGCTAGCCCTTGGAGGAAGGTTGTAAAACTTTGAAGTTTAACAGCAACAAGCTAACAATTAACTTAATAACGTTGGCTCAAATAATGATAATAATAATTTGAAGCTTCTGGCTTTTGCCAACTTTAGACAATTGTTTATAAAGCTAAAGACTTAAGAAGACCTTAAATAGTTAGCCTAATAAAGCAGCAACACAAGCTATAAGTTGGCAAGCAGCTAACTTAACCTGGAGTTAGCCAGAACAATGATAAATCTGTAAAACAACAAAAAAAAGGGAACGCTAAAATAACCGTACCAAATAAATGCTACAATCTCAGACTACATGTCCTGTAAAAGCCAATGTTCCTGGTTAATTTGCCTCGCAGGAAGGAAACTGTAGGTGTAAAAGCCAATGTTCCTGGTTAATTTACCTAAAAATTATTTTCGCAGGAAGGAAACTGTAGGAAAAAAATGTCCTCTCAGAAATAAAAACATCGTCTCCAAAAGTTTATTTGAATGTTTCTGTCATATCTGCTGACGTTGGTTGCCTTAAAGTTAGTCAAGTGAGGATTGAAAAAGGAAGATTAATATCCACACCTTTGGTTTTACATGGAATATTTCCATCATATTTCGCATAAATTGGTCAAAGAGCTGCATCAGCATGAAAAGAGTATTTCGCATAAATTGGTCAAAGAGCTGTGTCAGCATGAGGAGAGAGTGATTTATTTACATTTATATAAATATATATTTTTATATATTCTTTAACAAACTCAGCGCTGCCCTAAGCGTAGATGATGTCTATCTTAGTTACTTTGAATCACGAGACACGAGCATCGGTGGGTGTGTGTCGGAGCCAATATCTCAGTGTGAGATAATGCAAGGGAAGGAAGTGAGGAAAACGATGCAACAGCAGACGAAGAGGAGAGGGATTGAACAGAGCCGTGTCAGAGTGTCATGGAGGCAGAACTGACATCCTGACAGGCACTTCTGAAACCAACAGTTTTTGTCTCATTAGTGGAAAACAAGCTGAGTTTTCCCTCCTACACAAGAGGCTTTAATGAACAAACACACAGTCTTTCTATGGTCAGTGCGTCAACACTGGGTGCAGTGGGGCGTTACACACAAAAACACATACATGTTCACAGTGTTTGTGCTCATACAGGCATCGTACAATCTGTCAACACATACATTTACCTGACCTACTGAATGGATGTTTTCAATGATATTATTAAATTATAAATATATTGAATGTACACAGAATGAATGTAATATACTGTATGTAAAACTTTAAAAAATATAAACTCTTAACAGTGTATTTTATGCAAAATTTAACGATTTCAATTTAATGTGAGGAAAATTCCATTACATTAAAATGTATTTAGAAAAATTCCATCAGTTTATTTTTTGAAATTTTATTATACTGACAATAAATGACACGATCCCTTAAAATTTTTTTTAAACATTTTAAACATAAACATTTTAAACATCTTAAATTAAAACATGTGTTTTTTATGTTATCATAATATATAACATAAAAAATGAAAAAAACATTAAGTTTGAATGTTAGTAAATTATTTTTAAAAAATGTCAGTTCTTTTTATGGTAACATATAGTAATAAAATAGGATATAAAATGCATTTTTATATTAAATTATATTACATTATATATTCATATAAATGCAGTTAATGCATATTAGTAAGCACATCTAAAATAAAGCCCTTTTTTCCCCCTGAACCGTCAACAGAATCACAACAGCACAATTAATCCCAGATATTGTCCTCAGCTGAGGTGGGCAATGATGTGTTGTATAATACAGTTATTGTACAATTACACACAGAAGAACCTGTGTGTGTTGTTTACTGCCCGTGCATCTAAATATACACAAGCACAAATATCCTTTGGCAAAAATATGTCTGTATATATTTCTCAGGAGTCTAAAAAAAACTGCAGGCATAGACACAAACAAACACACGCAAACACACATGCATCCATCATAAGCTTCAGTGACTGTGGCATTATTGACTGAAAGGGACAAAACCTCTCCTTCTATATCTATAAATATCTCAGTTGCTTCTTTTCTTTCTTTTCTATTTCTCTCATTTTTCTTGATATCTGTTTTATGTCAATGTTTAATTATCAATTTTTGCGCAGAGAAAAAGAAATTATCAATTTTTCCGCAGAGAAAAAGATTTTTTTGTTTTTACAAATGACAAAATCAAAATTAATGTTTTTAAATACAGCAGTTGTGTAGTAGCGTGTACTGCATGATCAACAGATAAAGTAGGTAACATCACTGTGCTGTTAGCACCCCCTGCAGGGGAGCAAAGCAAAGCTTGATGTTCTGTGTTTACAAATACAAAAAAAAAAAAAAATCCGACATGCACTGTCAAAAAAGAAAAAAAATCTGCAACTTTGAAGGACAAACTGAAAAGGTAGTTTGCAAAGTGAATTTCTATGTCTGGCAAAGACCTTTCACTCGTTTTTCAACAAGTAAGTAGACCTCGACCCTTTTAATGACTAATCCCTGGAGCCTCTGCTCACTTCCATTAAGAACTTTAAGCCTCCAGCTTTCACTAAAGTGGGATAAATGAGGCGAGACAGATTCATCCAGCAGACAGAGCTGAGGATGAAAGTTAAAACCACAAAGGTAGCAGCTGTGCAATGTGCCAGCCACGCTGCGGCTGGATCACTGTACGGACTACACTGATAACAGACGGCACCTTGTTTGTGATCATTATGAACTACTACAAATTCCTTTTCACATAGAAAGTAAAACACAAAAGTATACAATGGCTCCGAGGAAAAGAACCTGGAAGATTATCATGACAGTGGTGTCAGTAATTTTAATGGAACCTGAGCAGAAAATGTCACACTACGTCGTTTTTTGTTTGTTTTTTGTAGCAAAAAAAGCTACAAAAAAGCTAAAAAGATATGTAATGTTTAGCAATATTTTACGAATGTTCTATATGACACAGTCATCACACATTATTTCTATCTATCACTTGCCAGATACAGTCTACATCGTTGTTTTTTCAAAGACTGGGTCGCGACCCTCAGGTGTGTCCCAAGAGATTTCTTTTTTGGGTCGTCTCGCATCATGTTTCCCAGGAGTTTACAAATAATGTCTATTGACTTGGGTCGCGAAGCTTCGTGACTTTTAAAATATGGGTCCCCAGAAAAAGGTTTGGGAAACACTGGTCTATGTGGATTAAAACTGAAAAACAAAAGTTCAATTTTTGATACAGATAATTGGTCTCAGACAGTAAAGTCTCCGTCAAATGCATTTTTGATGGGCAAAGATAAAAGATAGGAAAAAAAATTCCTCCCTAGAGTTGACTCTACACATGTGGAATAAATAAATAGACATAAAATCTATTCGCAGTGCAGTTTTGTAACTGAAAATAAACCAGCCAAGAAATAAATCCACTACAGACAAACTACAGTTATGTAGAGCAGAAACCTGAGCTTATGTTGAAAATTACAGCCCTGGGACTGTAAATGACACCGTTGGATTGTGCTACACACGTCGACACTTTTCATTACAACAAAGAGAATCCCATTTATTCACTGTCATGTCGGAGGACATGTGGTGCAGAGGGATATGGTGCAGAACATTCCCCATGAGGTCATGCTCTGAAAATGAAACGATGCCGAGCTGGAGGAGAATAAAACGGAGAGGAAGAATTTAGATTTCAGAAAAAAAAAAAAACCCTGATAATTTAAAAGCCTACGCCGGCTTTACATTCAGTAACTGTTTCTTCCTTTGAATGTATTTTTGATGATGGATTATAATCATCATTTCTTTGTATGCAGATGATACTGTCATTTTTTTACCTCCACCTTTAAACTGGCAGCTTGTGTCAACTGCTATTTGTGTTGTTTGCAAAAGCAGTGTCCTCAGCTAATTTCTATTTTTTTCCCTCTTCTGTATTTACTATTCAATTCCACAGTGTGAAATGTCTTATTGATTACATCTCAGCGTGAAATCAACAGCAGAAGTCTTCTACTGTTCCCCAGGACCGACGGAGAAAATAGAGGACGTAGTTGATGTGCAAAAAAAAATGTATTCAATCGTTACCTCATTAAAGTCCAGATTTAAGATTTAATTGAGGCATTATATCAGATTAACCACAGTGTGTGGACGGAGGGGAGTAAAGAATCCATTAGAACCGCTGTGATCACCCGCGGCGCTGTCGGATACATTAAAGTGTTTACTGCTGCCGCGGCTATAAAAGGTGTCTTCAGCTGACGATCGTCTCTTTCCAGGAATAAATTCCACCATTGGACGTTTTACTCAAGAAAGGCACAAAATAACCAACTAACGTTTCAGAAAATCAGACACTACAGTAGTGCAGCTGATTAGGCATTAGGTCTGGGCATCAATCAAACATTTTTAATTCTGATACCAATACCTAGTCTCATTGGTCTTCACACTTTTAAATGAAGATTGAAGTTAAACTTATTATATCCACCTAAAAAAAATAGTCTATATTATTTATTATAAAAATAATACAGTCCATGGGATAATGTAGAAATACCTCAATTTGTTCCTACTCCTCTACCCATCGGCTTTATGACTGAAAATCCTGCAACATCCAAAAACACTTGTTGTCTGCAACAGTGGCAGACTGTCAAGCAGAAAACGATGTTGATTTTGTTAGAAACAAACAATGATTAAACACTGGCCATTATGATTAAGTTTGAACCCTTGGGCTTTTCCTCTCCTCCTCCTCTGAACGCTCTGCCTCCGTCTACCTTTTTTCCCCATCACTGATATCCTCCCTCTCCCAGCCTGATAATCGGACACTGACTCACACCCTTGTCCAATTAGCCTGACATATGACCACAGCCAGAGCAGGAATCCAGGACTGTGCCTCCTGCTGTGTCACAGATTCAGATTTATGCGGACGATTCGGTCTGAGACAGCTCTCTAACTTGGCCTCCTGTTAGCATAATCTGCCCCCTCTTCATCTCCAAAACATACTCATCTTCATTACAGTCTGTCTCTCTGTAATTTGCTGCAGCCTAGAGAGACATAATGGATATTTGGTCATTTTTCACCTTTGATGCGGTTGGGTATGAGAATCTTTTGTCCTTAGTTCTTCTTTGACAACTTTTAAAACAGCATCAATGAGAGATTTTGAAGGATGTAAGGGTCTGGTGAAGGATTAATCAATGACAACCGCAATGTGTAGAAGGTTTACCACCAAATTAGATCCACTGTTAATTATCTGTAATTAAAACAACCTGTTAACAAGGTCAGGTCGTTGACCACTGTCTTAAATCATAGATCCACTGTTAATTATCTGTAATTATAACAACCTGTGAACAAGCCATGGCAAAACTCAGCACAGAATCAAGACTCAGGGCTGTGACAGTGTGACAGTATGCAGTGCTGCAAGGAAGGAATCCTGGGCAAGCAGGAAGCAGTAGTGGCAGTGGTCGACCAATGAACACACACAGAGCAGCAGACGACGATCACAACACACAACGACTGGCCCTGAACGCACCGCACCTGCTTTGTAGTGTTGACAGGCTTTAAAGGGGGACGTGGGGTTAAACAAGGGCAGTGTGTATGAGCAGGATGTGTATTTTGCTGAACTAATGGTTTTACTCATTAATAAAAATGAAAGGGTTAAAATATTGAACACAGGATTGTTTTTTGACTATACAGTGTGCATTATTTTCGTACATATCCATTAAGTTACCTTACATCTGGCAAATAAAGCTATGGTGACATGATGAAAGATTTCATCACCAGGCTTAAACTCAGTTCTGTCTGTTTCTCTCACTCATTCCCTCTTTAATTCTCTTGGTCTCTCTCTCTCTCTCTCTCTCTCTCTCTCTCTCTCTCTCTCTTATTTTGGCCAGGTAACTGTGTTCCGGGAGCTGAGAACACATTCAACACCCACACTGTTCGCTTACGTCAGTGGAGCAATTTTCTACCAGAAGACACTTTGACACAGAGCTGCTGAACACACACAAACACACACATGAACACACGCACAGTGGTGTAGTGACAGTTCAGTTCTGCAGCCACTCGCTAACAACCAAATGTGGGACGAGACACGCGTGGACGCACGCGGAACATGCCTCGTTCCTTTTTTTCTTTTTTTTTTTCAATCTCTCTCTCTTTCTCTAATGGGTGTCACCAGCAGAAACAGTTCCCATGGCAACATACAGGTGACTCACTGGCTGCTGATGCAGTTGCTGTGACAACCTGCAGTGGTAGCATCTCTCTAAGAGAAGGAGAGAAAGAGAGAGAACACACCACACTGTGGGTGTCTGCCGTGGTAGGAGCTGAAGTGTAACGCTGCAGACCAAACAAGTTGATGAGCAAACAGAACCAGGGTCTGAAGCTGCAGGATTAACTCACAGCCTGAACCAACACTGCAAACAGATCAGGAGATAATGTGAGCAGACGATGGAAACCTAAACTGATTCAGAGACACGGCCCTGAATCAACAGGACTTTTCAAACAGGATGGAAAAAATGAAATGAATCTTCTGTAAACAGAGGAACTGTTGTGTTTCTCGCAACTGTTTAGCTGCTTAAAAATACACTGGGTACATAAACCCAGAGCTCAGCTTCTATTGTTGTTTTCCAAAGATAAATTATTTAGCACTTCTACACAGAGCTCGTGTCCAAACATACAAAAGTATTTTAACTAAACTCCATCTCTGAATTAGCCTCAACTTTGGAAATATTAGCCAAAAGATAACTGAAGTCAACCAAAAGTGTCTTTTTCACTAAACTCCACGACAATGAACAATGAAAACAAACATTGTTTGTATCACCTTCACCCACTGTTTCCACACCTTTACTGCCACCTATGTTTATGGTAAATCTACATCACACTCGACACAGGAGGAGACATTGTTCGCACAGTTAATTGTGTTTAGAATTTTACTCCAATGTTAGCATTTTTGAGCAATTTTCGTAATATTAAACAACTTGTGTTACGTTTTCGTAGTTTTTTAGCAGCTAAAAGCATTTACTATTTTTCTAACGTCATGTTAGGAATTCAAACTAGTTGAGACATTTTTCAATGTACTTCTGTGACTTAGTTTAGAAATTATTTGGTAATATTACATAAGAATTTAGGTACTGACCTTTGTGTTCAACTTTGTCAAACAAAGGTTAACTGGAGGTTATCCTTGTTTTTGTTCGTTTTGTCTTATTTCATCTTTGCCACACTTCTTCCTTACGCTTCCTCTTTTTTTTTAGCAAGAAGTTGCATTACTTTTTTTATAGTTTTTTTGAAAGTTTTCTGCTTCACGTACTTGTTGTCATAGTTTTCTTTTACTTATTTATTTATCTGTATTTTTGTGTCATTTTTGCAAAATTATTGAGCGCACACCCAGACACGTGAGCACGTGATGCTCGATCACAGCCTTTTTATCTTTTACTATAATCAAATCTTGAAAATGAAACATCACATTTTCACATTCCAGTCTTGGTCCATTTTTTACGCACTAATACCACAACAACTGAGAAACAGAATTTGGTCGATAATCAAACCCAGATCATAACTGAACTTTTGACCTACCATTTCCGATTCCGCTGTTGAGCCGGTGGTTGATATCGAGTGAGCAGGGCTTACGAGTCACGGCGGTCGTCACAGACTCGTAAGGATTGTCTTCGTCTTCTGGCAGGAAAACGTCCAGAGATGGTGATGTGACGATTTCTGAGGAAAGTTTGGAATCCTGGGATAAAGACAGAACATAAACAAGGAAAAGAGCATTTAGGAAAATCACATTTTAATTTCTTAATTAATTGCCATCTGTCGTTTAGAAGCCATTTAGAACAGTGTAGATGATGTCAATCAGGAGCGTCAAGATTAAAAACTGTGATGAAGTCGTGGGCCGAACTTATTATTCATTGAAAAATAGATGGCAATTGTGCATGTTTTCCCTTCTTTTTTTCATAAAAAAACAAATTTTAGTTTTGCGTAAACGTTGAATCATAAACAGCTACTGCTCTCTAAATTCTCTACCCAAACATCCAGAACACTTGTATCCTTTTCATTTTATTTTCACAACAAATAACCTTAAAATTTGGGGCTTGAATGTTCAAAAGATGTTAAAATCTATCATTTTGAAGGTGCAAAAGCTTCAGGGCTTTAATCACATGGTTGGAATTTCTTCTCAGAGAGAGAAGAAAAACAGCTGCTGGGAGAGAGACCAACTGATTTTTTTCACATGATAAAACGTGTCACAACAAAAACTATTTTGTCTTCAGTTGGCACCTGGATTATTTTACGGGCTGGTGTTCAACGGGGAATAGTTTAGGAGAATGCATTTTTAAAGTACTGACCAGAAAGTTCTGCACTGTTTGTCATGTATTTTGCAAAAACAGAATCAAAAACCCTCTTTAGAAAATCTGAATTGTCTGCGGACGTTACTATCAGGATGAATCTTTATTTTTTTTACTCATAGGTTGGACTCCAACCTTCCCCATCAAATTAGTGATAAACAAATCCATTCCAGTTCTGCTACAAAATGAGCCCTTTAAGTTTAAATGTTCTCGACTTAAATACCTTTGATATTTTGTCAACTAATTCCAACGCAAAATGAAAACAATTCTATTGACTCAATGAGACTTAAACTGAGTTCAAATGTGTGAAATGTAAGGGAATTTATCTTTTGGCCTCTATATAAAAATCCTGTATTTTGTTCCTCAGTTTTCCCTCTGTCTATTTGAGGATCCTCACACATTGAGCTCTCCTGCAGCTTTGGTGAAAAGGTTGGATCCCCGAGGAATCGCGGAGCGGCATGAGGAGCCAAAGGTCTGCTATCTGAGAGTCAGATGTGTGTCCAGAGAGAAATGGAAAAACAAGCGTGAGCAACGAGAAGCAGGGGGAAAGGTTAGAGAGGCCAGCATCATCTCAGGGACAGCGAGACAAAACAATGACTGTGCCTCTGGGTGTCTGCCTTTCGCACGTCCAGCAACACTCCATCATCATTTGTTTAGAGTTTAAAACCTGTAAACCTGTGGCTGGAGTTTTTTTTTTCCACACCACAGACACAGTCCCAAAGTCTACCTCGACTTCATTTCAAACATATTCTGCGACTCGCTGACTTTTGAGAACCTCTCTGAACGTTCTTGCCTCATTTAGAAGCCATTACTCATCCTGCCATCGTCTGCTACTACATTACCCAGACTGCACCAGGCCATCAATCATTTCCCGAGCGCACTCAAAAATGGATTAATCATCCAGGCTGATGGAACAATCACTCACAGCACACTTTCTTCAAATGACCTACAAACCAATCCTCTCTTTGCTTTCTTGGCCCCATCAGCACTCAATTAGTCTGCCATTAAAAACTAATGGGGGATCCAGTCAGTCCTCGACGGCTTCACTCTGCAGGTGGTCGGGCCGGAGCTGACACTGATGCGACCTGACAGCCTTCGTTAGATGGAGACTTCACTCGTAGCGGAGGGCCAGCTCTGATAGAGTCACACACAGCCATTTTCAGGGTCACGGAGAATTTGACCTGAATTATAAACTCCTCTGACAGCTCAGATTAAAGGAGCCATGAATCATTCTCACATTCATTTTCAGAAACAACTGATGTTAAAAATACAGACACATTGGAGTCTTGCTTCACGTCACTGCAAATTCAAAAATTGCCAGTTAACGTTTGGATGGAAAAAAAAACTTTAGTGTAAAGAAGTCCAAAATGTTTTCCAGAGGTATGGCCCAAAAGTTGCAAAAGAACGCCCCCATGAGTCATAATTCTTGCTCTTCATAACATTGCATTCCAAGTACAAAATTGAGCTTGTTGGCCATTGCATCAAATTCTGTAAAACTGTGTTTTATCACTATATAAAAAGTTGCATTGTTGAACTACAAACCTCTGAGAAAGCCAACTCTAAAACAGTTTTCCTGGAACTGGCAGCCATTATTCTGACTCAAATACAAAAGGATTCTTTGGTGATGAGGACATTAAATCGAAGTGCCAACGTACAAGCAGTTGAAACACAGTTTCTTATCAAAAAAAGACCTTGTCTGAGTCCAACTGCCTGCCTCTGTGTCTTAAAGCGAGGCTCCCAGCCCCTGTAACAGGCCGTGAATCACTTGATACAGGGCAGTGGAATGAAGGGAAAATAACATATTCTTTGCATTTTTATGAATTATCAATGCAAAACATTTTGTTTTAAAAGTGATAGTAATATCTCCAACAAAATGATTGAAAACTTCTGTCTTAGTTAGATTCTGGCGATTCTTTGCTCTGATTCCAAAATGGCTAATTTTGGGGGAGCTAAAATAAAAATCTGATCAGATAAAAGGACAGACAGTTCAAATCTAAAACCATCGGGCCTCACCTATTAGTGATTAAAGTCAGACCTTTTCCATCCATCTGTTTTAGAACATGTTGAGTGACTCTGGTATGACAGTAAGACTCAGACTTTTTGGTGATTCCTGGTAGAGGAGAGAGAGTTTCCATTTTAAACTCTGCTAACAGTTTTACTGTATCTTTTCACCATTTAAATCAATAAGCCACGCTTTCTAAATCAGGTCAGCGGCAGAGAAGAAACAGAGACTTTTCTACAGGGACTGTTTTTTATCCGCAGCCCACGATATCTTTATCTTTAAAATCCCCCAAAATTTGCATTTTTTTGGCGTATTAACACAATTATTTTAAAACATTGAAAACACAGTTGTTCAGAGAGTCTAGTTAAAAATGACAAGACGCTGAAGTGAAGTCTAAGAAAAATGGAAATGGTTTTAAACTCTGGTCTCTGTAAATAGGGAATTAAGTTTAAATGGTTTGTTGTGCCGTCACAACGAACATGTCATGATGAAAAAAAAAAAAAACATTTCTGAAAAAGCTACCGGTAAAATAGCTTCATTAGCAAGAGACAAAGAAGGCAGAAGTAAAAGAGGTCGAGAGGCAGACGGGTCCTTCCATCCAGGATGAAAGATAATAAAAGAAAGACACCCAAATGAAGAAATAACGTTAAAAAAGTGCCTCTAATTATCTTCTTCAATCATTGCTGTTTCATGATGGTCTAAAGTGTTCCTGCTATTATTCTCTGGCCTCTGTGTCATTTCTACTTTTTATCTCTCCCTTCGTCTAGGTGAAGAACCAAGCCTCATCAACTGTCGATATTCAACTACTTCAGCTCTGCAGCGTCCAATCAAATAGGAGACGAAGAAAAAAACGAAAAAGGATGCGAGTTGCCATCCAAACACTTACTTCAGTGTTCACGACAGCAAATCCCAAAGAGATGAGGACATGACGGAGTGACAGAAGAAACAGGAAGAGGGAAATGAGTTCATGCAGAGGAAAGGAAGTCAGAGGAAGTGGGCGTACGAGACAGTTTGGTGCAAAAACTCCTCACCAATTTCTCACAAAAAGGATAAATACTAAGACTTGCATGGAATCCACGTGCCGGATTTTTCAAGAACACAACGAATTGAAAGTCAAGACAATAGTGTTCCTGTAGGAGATCAGAGAGCTGGAAATTTGAGGAATCCCTTTGACTCGCTTTGTACGTAATCTCAAACAGAACACAGAGGGATAAGAAAAAATCCCTGGAATTGTTCTCCACAGAAGCAGCCTGACAGTGAGAGAAATGAAAATCACTCTTGCAGATACCTGATCTTCTGATGGAGTCCTCGCTGATCTTGCTCCTCGGCAGGTTTCAAAGAGTGGTTTAAACAAAACACAACCAGGGGCTTCATGTGGTCCTGTACGAGGCGTCTCTTCCAGCCGACAAACCCGCTCGGTCCTCATTCATCTCCCTCCCTCTGAACCCTCCACCCTCTCTATCTCTTCCAGCTGAGAGATAGCACACAGAGAAACTTGTGTCTGTGCTGAGCAGGAAGAGAGCAGACAAACAGAGGCCTACTCTGGCCACTAATTAGCAGGTCGTACGCAGTTCCCGTCCAAACTGCAGGGACCGGATTAAAAGTTCTGCTGCAGTGCATGCGACCGTGCGGCACTGGCCACACACGTGACCCGAGGATCCTATGAAACGGTGTGTGATTATATCTGTCTAATCACACACTGTGGAGTTCGCTAAACTGTTGTCTGTCTGCGTCCAGGAGATAAAGTTAAACATGTGTGATCATGTGAGGGCTTCTTCCTCGTCTGCCTGCCAGCCCGAATTGTGAGTCTGCATGAGTCTGTGTGTGTGTGTGTGTGTGTGTGTGCGTGTGATTGGGCATGTCAGATAACACAAATAGGAAATCTGACGTTGCTGTGGTCACGTCTGAGGAACTTCTATGTTAATCCTGTGACTCTCTCCTTCCTCTGTCTGTCAACTCTGTACTGTACAGACTCACGCTGTGAGCTCCGGTTCGGAGGTCATCAGATATGAATAGCAGCTGTAATTTGCTGGCATTTCCTCATGTAGGCTATTGGATTAGAAGAGGAACAGGGAGGGTTGGACACCCGGGAGGACAATGGACCCTCTGACAGAGTCAACAAAAGTCAAGAGAGGACAGTAGAGGAGAGACACAAACTGAACAAAGCTGTTTAATTCCCGTCTCACATATGGGCCATAGAAGAAGATGCTACGGATTCACTCACAGTCCGGGATTTTGTGGTTAAAAAAATAATAAGCCAATAGGTTTATACAGTATATGGGTTGAAATACAGTCATTCATTTGAACAGAAGCAACAGTGTAAGAGACTTAAAATTACATGGGATTACAACCCATCTGGTCTTGTACTGGCAAGGTGGGGCTGTAAAAGACACGCAATAGTGGTATTGTATTACAACATTTTTTCCTTGGAAAGATTTTTAACACTTTTAATCAAAAAGTAAGCCAAGACATTGAGAAATCTTAATGCAGCAGTAGTTCCAAAGTAGGGGGTGCGAAACAGGCTGTCAAGAATGAAATCTGAATTGTTTGAATGCCCTAATTTACTATCTAACAGATTGAGAGAGAGACAAAGAGAGAGAGAGAGAGAGAGAGAGAGAAATAACTTAGATAACACTGACCCTGCTCAGCCGTGCTGCCAGCTGCTCCATAAATTTCCATTCTGTGTTCAAACAGAACTGGTCTCTGACATTTCCACTCTCTGTATCACACTCGGCCCATTACTTTAATGAAGCATCTCTGGCTCAGTAGCAAGTTGCCAGATCCTGTTAGAAAACACAGGTTTTTGTAATTCGTACAATGCTGATCTTTGTTCTCTGGCTGATCTGGTTGACTTCGGATTGCTGTGAACGGCCAACGAGACTGCCAAGGGACAAGCGAGGCATTTAATCCCACAATAAGGACAAGCATTAATCTCAAAACTGCTAGAAAATGGAGAAGTTGGAAATAAACGGATTCCAAGGCAGACGAAGACGAAGGCAGTCAGAGACAGTTAAGAGCAGGGAGCAGAGACTGCCGCGGCAGAATTGGATTTCCTCTCCATCACTGGACAATCCTACTGAAATCAGCTCACAGAGCCACCCCTGGGACACCAGCAGTGGTTCCTCAGAAAATAACACCCTTCACATTCTTGGCGGCGGCTGCAAAGACACGAACTGAAGCTGCGGCCACGCTCCCCCAAAACCCCACACTTCATAGCACAGACAAGGCAGCCAGGCCTTAGAGTGAGCGGCCGCTGACAGAGTCAGAGTTGATTTGTTTCCTGTGTCTAAGTCCAGGCCCCCACATACACTCAAACTGAGCAGTTATGTAATTCTCTCCGTAAACAAGTCCAAGTACATACCTCCCTAGGTATGCTAAATGAGATAGCATCGTAGACCAAAGTATTTTTAGAGGCCCTCATTATTGGCTCTCTTATCGACAAGTTGCTTTTTATGTTGAAATTACAAAGCAATCAATTACCTAAGGGATGATTAACCGCTGCTGTCGGCTTTAAATCAACCTTGAAGACAGCACAGCGTGCTAAAAGCAACCTTGGAGAGCTACGTAATATATACAGTACAAGTGGTGATGATTAATTATAACCATTAGGAACCTCTGATGACGTTCTACAAGTTCTGGTGGAAAAAACACAAAGATATATATATATGTGTGTGTGTGTGTGTGTGTGTGTGTTTTTATCGGATCAGAATCCTACAGTGTCTTGACAAATTCTCAGCTCATCGATCAAAAAAGTAATTATTCTCCCAGAAGAAATATGTTTAATGAAGGAACAAAACCTGATGTGTGGTTCAGAAACATATCAATTACTGAAGTCATCAAAGTCAGGATTGATTAATATTAACAACAGATAACTAGGGCTAATAATATATATAATATAGTATAGCATAGCATAGCGTAGTATAGTATAGTAATTCTGCCAGTCACTGTCACGAAAGACAAATTATTTGCGATACATAGATAAGAGCTTCCATATTACATCTGCACACTAATGGGCAGAAACGTTTTAGGAATTCTTGGCCTAGAAAATGCTGTTGTTAACAATGTTAACAATGTTTTTACAGTTTATTAATTTGTTAATTATATTAAATCAGTTTTTGGGGCTCAGCCGATATGCAACACATCAGTACGAAACCAAAATGGCTGAACTTTAACAGCCTTTTGATAACTGCCCATTTTCACCAACACCAGTACATAAAACTACTAAACAGCTCAACTTGGCTGCAAATTCGGTCGAAAGTGGATTAGCTTCGTCCCTTTTTTTGGACAGTTTTTGCAATTGCTTCTAGCTAAAACTTCAAAGGGCAAACAGCACTGACTTCATCATTCATCAGAGGCGTGTTTTGGCTTCATCTACAGCGACGCTTGAGGCGCAACCGGCTACAAAGACATCACAATCGTTTCAGCTCTTCTTGTTCATGGTTTTACATAATTCCTGTCTTTTTGTATCAAATAATTCCACATTAGGGGCTGAGAGGAAGACTCTTTTTGACAATTCTGAGGTATGACGGATGAAGAATTTCATAGTTTGTGACTAAACATAAAGCGTTCAATTTATGTATCTCCTTTAGGATCACAGATCCTTCCACACACTGTTCTCTCTGAACCTCTCAGATGAACCTGCCGTTTGATCTCCCCCTCAGTTCTACAAGAGCCCTCGTGAATTTGTTTGATTATAACCTGCATCAGTGGAGCAACACAGACCTGCTACCACTTTAGCTCCTTAAAAATGACTGAGGAGAGCGCCTTGAAGGTCAGCAGCCGCCTACTTAAGAAAGCACAGGCTGAATACAGAGACTTAAAGGTTTAGTTGGTCTGAGTCTGCAGCTCTGTGATGAGGTACCTGTGCTGACGGTGACTGAGTTTTGCCAGCTGTGGCAGAACTTCCACCTCCTACATTTTATGAATTCCTGTGTTGCCTGGCAACTCTTTCACTTATTGCATCTTTCTTCATGTTCCCTCTCAAGGTTTTTTAACTTCTTTTATAGAGTCAGCACAGTGGAGGAAACCTCCTCTTCCTCCTCTTTCACAGTCTTTGGCGTCAGTCGGCGTAGACGTAGGAGGACAACTGCACATTGGAGACGACACAGACTTAACAGGAGACTTTTCCTGTTACAGGCAAGTGTGCGAACATGACATGACATGACTATCTACCTATCTTTTCCCAAAGTGAACTATAAAAGGATTAATAAAGTTCTGTCTAATCTAATCTATCCAAAATTATCCAATCAATATAATGACATCCACAGGCCTTTTTTTTTGTAGCAATTAAGACTGGGATTCTGGGTCCATTAATATATTAGAGTTGTACGTATGTATATATATTGATTCAGTTGTCAAGCAAAATAAATTTGAATTACTGTTTTATGTGCATTTGATGCAATTAAAAAAATGTGATTCAAATTATTGTGATTACTTAATTACTTTAACTGTAAATAATACTGTTTATCAAACGAATCCCAGCAGTACTTCCAATAAGTGTTTACATGGAGCCATGCTTTGTCTCAACACAACCTTCATGAAAACAAAAGCTCTTCTATATTTAAGATCGAGTCTTTTGTCGCCATCACAGCAGCCCATAAACCACAACACCAACATAATTATGCAGTGATAAGTCAACCTCCAACTCCTTCACTCTGCCTTCCTTCTCACACCCTCTCCACAACATAAACACACACACACAACTCCAAATGATGATGATAACAAACCAAAGATGTATCTGCAGACACACACACACACACACAAACTCCAAATGATGATGATGACAAACCAAAGATGTATCTGCAGACACACACACACACACACACACACACACACTCACACTCACAGGTGCAGAGCTCTGCAGGCACACTGCCAGTCAGTCAATCAGTCAAGTCAAGCTGCAAGTGCAGAAGACAGAGGCTCTGTTGTGTTGTCAAATGTGCTGCCGTTACAGCCAACGTGCATCACAACGCCGGCATTCATCGTATGAACGGAGCTCACGGATCTGAGCGTGTGAGCAGAGAAAAAAAAAGGAGGAAGTAGATGGAGAAGGACTGATTTCAAGCTTCAGTAGTTTTGATTATTTTATTTATTTACTTTTATATTTGTAAGGGGAAGCTTTATCAGCAGTAAACTATGGGGAAGAGAAAGGTGTGGTAATAAAGAACAGGATCTGCTTGACTGTTGAAGTCCTTCTCGTTGAATGCTGTATTTAGATTTTGATGTTTTAGCCATAGCCTAGTCCAGGCGAGGGCAATCTAAGGCCCGGGGGCCGGATGTGGCCTGTTTGCCTTTATAATCCGGCCCGCCAAATTTGTCCAAAATATGCTATTAATTTATATTATCATTATCCTGTATTTCTGCGTTTTCTCTGCACAGCCTGCATTTCCCCAACAGATGGTGTAGAAAAAGCTAAAGAAATTTTAAAATTTTAGCCTTTATCCCTGACTTTACTTGTCATTTATCTTAATGCTCCATCTACCTGCTCCTAATTTGGCCCCCCTGTAAATTTTAGGACCTGTTGTGGCCCACGGGTCAAAAAGTTTGCCCACGACTGGTCTAGTCTATTCATTATTATTTACTATTCCAGTCTCATTTTAACCCAATTCAAATTTACAGTATATAAGACAACAGTGTTGCAGGAAATTACTCCGCTTGACCAAGGCAATTAATCATTGTTTGTAGCTCCCCCTGCAGGGATGGAGGAGGCAGATGTTAGCGGTCAACTAAGTTATTAGAAATGTATTTTAATTGATGTTTGTATAAATAATGTTTTTTATTCATGCAAAATAAAATTCTACTCAAATTTGATTTAGTTCTTAGCCTAAAGGAGGTACACACAAAGTGATGTTTTAAAAGAAAGCACTGATTCTTGCAGAAGTGAAGAGTCTTAGACAAAATGAGACAATGGAGTGACGGCTCCTCCACTTGGTTTCCCAGGGTAACCAGTGTCAGTATTCATTCAGAACAACATCGGCTTCACTAACCTGTAATTTCAAAGTTGAATCAGTGTGGGGGTGTTTTTGTTTAACAAACTTTCATGTTAGAAACAGATTGTGATATGTTCATTATGTGACATAAGCTCCTATTTCTTAAGACCAAGTGAGTAAATAGTTGAATTGAGTTGAGTGCCCCCCAGTGGCAATTACATTTCGAAATGGTAATAATCTGTAATTAAACAACCGAGACCATGAACCAGAGCTGATATGATGCTGCGTAACATTGGACACACGGTAGTTTCACCAAAGACAACCCGTACCTGTGAGTGGCTGGGGAAGCCCAGGTTGTGGCAGCCGTTACAAGGAGTCAAGGCTTCCCAGAATCCAGTGGGACCGCAGCTTCTTTCTGCCTCCTCTTCCTCCACAGCTGCAGCCAGAGGTTTGTTCTGCCTCTGTAGAAACACAGGCAGAAAAAAAGTCAATTCCTGAAGTGGAGCCTAACAATCAAGTTGATTGGTCCAAAGGTCTGCTCCCAGTAGGGGTGAAGTTTTTAATAAAGATCAAGTTGAAAAAGTTCGGTGTTGTGATAAAGTCTGAAACTACCTGATATTTATCAGGTGGTTTTTCTAATAATAGTCCAGCACCCATAATGCCAAAACGAAACTAAAATGCCACTTGTTTTCTCCTATTTAACATCCACTTGCTGCTAACATGCTAACGGCTATGTTTTATGTTATACCAAAGAGACAGAGTAGAATGACTGTATGTCATTACTTGTATGCTAATGATTTTCCAACTAAACTTATTACACAATTTTGTAAAATATAATTTTTTTCAAATATTTCCTTGTATTTTTTCTCAATTTCTTACTGTAGAAACCTTAGCACTAGTCTGTCTTACTGTAGCTTGTCTTTTGGAAGTCTTCCATTCCTTATTTTACAATGTTTTACAATAACTGTTTTTTACTCTTTAATTAGCATTTCTGACTTTAGCCTATTAGAGCTAAAGTTTCCCTTTTTTCATTTTTTGTTTAACTATACCCTTTGAATATACTTTGGCTAAATTATACTACATTTTTGATGAGCTTTGTCTGTCTTTTAAATTAAATTAATTTAATTAAGTTTAGATTTTCTCTTTTTTTCAGGTTTGCAAACAACCATATATACATTTCAGGAACAATAAGAATCACTCCTTATAACAAAAAAAAATTAAGGGCAAATTTGTGGCATTTATATCCAAAATGTCACTAATTTCTGATTTAAAAAAAAAAAAAAAAGGTTGGACCAACAGAGTCAAACTGAAGAAGCAGCAAAACAACAAATGCTGTGTGTGTGTCCTTCCCCGGGGCTCTTCGACTCCCGGGAGGTCGATGTGTGTGTCAGAGGACAGATAGGATCCAGCTGATATCTCAGTGAACCACATGAAGCACCAGAAGGTAAAAGTCACGGTGCGACACAGACACGGCAAACTTCACAGAAGATTTTACAAATAACAATAGATGGAAAAGGACAAAATTTGAGGCACGAATGCTCAGAAGAGACAAGGAAGGAAGGAAGGAAGGGAGAAAGGAAAGGACAGACAGATGGAGAGGAGCAGAAGATCAGAAGTGATGATGGAGACGGAGAGATGGAACCAGAAAAGGTCACCAATCAGCACAGATTGCAAATGGCTGATATGAGGGCAGAATATTAAATATTGTGGAAAAAAACTAAACCGCGTGAATAAAGAATAGACGTTCTAGTGTAGACACATGACTCCAACCAGACAATTAGCCTTTAATTATTCATGCACTGACAACTGCATCACTGATCAATATTTCATTAGCTGTCTGTTGGAACGGCTCACAGAGACAGATTAATAACATTTCTCCATAATTATAACATATTCTGTCTGTGTCTGTCTACGTTTGAAAATGATTTACTTCATCCAAGAAAAAAATTAAAACAGCGTCACACTTTACAGGACGTGAACTGAGTTTGAACTGGCAATCATTGGAAAATATAATGCTTTGTTGAAAACTAAGTAATCCAATTAAAGGAGAATTAAATGCATAAATGAGGTCAAGAAATATCTGAACACATTTTAGTAATACAAGAACAGAACCTGATTCTAATAATAAATTATTAAGCTGCACAGGTGAAGGTTACACTTTTGTTTTCAGACCATTGACAGCACTTTAACCAGTGTTTGCGTGTTGCTTTGACCACTCATTCCACTGCCCTGCCTCTTCCTGTGTCCATACGGCTTTGACCACTCGTTCCACTGCCCTGCAGTAACCTGCCTCTTCCTGTGTCCATACATAATGAACTAAAGGTCAGTGTCACATGTGAGTGTCAGCGTAGCTGCTGCCAAGTTAAGGTTAATGGGAAGAAAAATTGAAGCAGACATGTTATAGAAGGCCCAGAAAACAAGTACAGATCACACATGTGTGTTACCCCGTGTGTGTGTGTTCAGGTGGGAGGTCAGAGTGATGGATGACCTCCGAGTCCCGCACTGTGACAATGGAGCAGATAAAACCCGAAGCTGTGTTGTCAACACTGTGATTGTGTGCTCAGCTAATGAGGTTTAACTTTAACACCAAATACGTCCTTAGATCAACCTCAGACATCGGCTCCACTGAGTCAGAGTGTAAACAAGTCACGTAAATCCAACACAGAGGGTTTTGATCCAGACAAAAACAAAAGTGAACAATAAAACGTATGTCTGTGGGCTCTGAACGACTGAATGAACACAGGCAATTACTGACTAAATATATGCATATGAACGAAGACACTGAGACACAGATTTTTTTTGTAATAAAAATATTTTAAAAATTAAGTTTTAATATATTATGAGTGGATTTAGTCGGTGCAACACTGCCCTCTGTCGTCTAAATGCACATATTACGGGCTTTTTTATTACAGCGCTCTGGTGGGCAAATCAATAACGTCAATTACCCGTTGGGAGTTCATTTATATACATAATTGCCTGGAATATAAATTGTTTTGTCAAACTTCACATTATGGACTCAGATAAGCTGTTTAAACCTTTAGATGGAGAGGCAGAAGATGAGGGTGGGGGTGCAAACAGGATAAACATGAGATACAGATACAGAAAGACTATCTGTCACCACCAGGGATCAAACCACTGCACCTCTTATTGTAAGGCAAGAACACTAACCGCTTCTATACCACCTGGGCCTTTTTTAAAACAAATATTTTATGTGCAAATATTTGTGTTTCTTCCTGTAAATCAAGTCAATTAACTGTGCATAAATAGAGTCAGTTTGTTGAAAGACTACCTTCACATTAAACAAATGCTGTGTAAACTTTGAGGTGTTAATAAGTCTGTCTACAAATGTAAATAAAAATCCAAAAGTGTGGAAATATCTCCATAATTAAAAACGCTATAAACAGTGGTTTGATTAAGTACCCACATTATACAAACACGTGATGAATCTCGTTTTTCTTGTCTGATTTACTAATTAATTGTGGTAAATATAAAACACTGACTAAGATCATTTGTAAAACCTGAACTGCCACTTAACATTTACTATTTAAAAGTTTATGACAATGAATTTTTTTTTTTTAGTTGCATCTCTACTTAATGATAGAAAAACTATAACATTTAAAGTCCGAACCAACCTTGCCGACTCTGGTCAGGGTTCCGTTGGGTCTCTCCGGACGGTCGTCGTCAGACAGCCGTCCACTGCCGACGCTGTCCATGGAGTGAGAGGAGATGGTGTGGCAGAGCTCCTCGAAGGAGTAATCTCTGTCCCTGCACTTCTTGATCTCATGAAGCAGCTTGGACAACTCACTGGTCACAGCGTCATCTGGTCAAGAGATGGAGAAGATGATGGTGTTAATATGACAGTATATGCCTTAAGTTTTGGTTTAAATTTCCCAGACAGTGTTCACATATTTTAACTGTTAAATTTAAGTTATTTCAAGATTTGCTTATTGGATTTTTAGTTTATAACATCAAATCTATCATATCAGCAGATATAGAAAAAAAAATTGGAGTGGAGTGGAGTGCAATGTCGTGTTTGGTCCCTAAGGGGCAGCAGCGGGTAAGGATAGAAAATTTTAACGGCACAGTTTAACTCCAGCAGAGTGAAGGTAAAAAGTTAAAAGTATTTATTTATAACACCTAAAATTATATTTTAATGTGTTTTTCTTTATTTTAATATAATTAATATTTCATGTGAAATATGTGTCTATTTTCTATTGAAATCAAATGTCTATTTAGGTCCTGGTTCTGTTGGTTTTATTCAACTTTACACACCGTTCTGTTTGTACTCACTCTTGTGTCTCAGGGAGGGGGAGGCAGAGGGTGAGGGGACTGAGGTCCGAGGCACAGGGATGGGACATTTGCGTACAGGCTCCTCCACGATACTCCTTCTCTCCATCTCGTCCATCATGTACTCTACAGAGGCGAGTGGAGACAAGGAGGCGAGGTTAGGCATCCACCCAAGACAAGAGAGGAATGTTGGGGTCAAACAGGACTTAAGTGGTTAAACATAGGGCAAGAATACAGGTTTTGGAGGTTTATAGAGAGGTGGTGATGAAGAGGAGAAGCACTTCAGAGGCATTTTAATGGATCAATATAAAAGCACAGTCATCAGCGTGGTGAACAGATTGTGCTGCATTTGATTCACACTTAACTCACATATTCACTCCAGAGCTTTTGCCAACAGAGCTTAGCTCTGGTAGAGCACGACAGGAACAGAGAACAGAACACATGGAAAGAAGAAAAGGAAGGAGGAGAAAGGAACAGAGAACAGAACACATGGAAAGGAGAAAAGGAAGGAGGAGAAGAATAGGAAGAAAAAGGAAGGGAATATAAGGAGAGAAGAAGTTGAAAGAAACGGGAGAAAAATGTGTTGGGAATCAATCAATAATAAATAAAAAATAATCCTGCAGCAGCTGCTCAGGGCTAATGAGGAACCCAGTGTGTATATCATCGGTGGTTTGGGGCAGAATGGCCTTGAAACATCCACATATGAAATATACATTTACAGTCCTGTTAAATATGAAGGACTGTTCAGAACAGTCTGAGTTGCATAAGTCCAACCAGGGTCCAAGTATAGAATTTCAAATGCTATATAGCTTGAAGCTAACCCAATCTAAGTGAATATTGTTTTTTCCTACAGTTGCTATAGATAATAGTTTATTTAGTGAAATGATTGTTAGCAGATAGCTTCACCAGAGCTAGCATTGAGCAGGTTAAAAGATTTAAAGTGATTATAAAGGCTGAGAAAACCGAGCATAAAGTCGACGTCTTCTCCAGTGTGTTCCTTCGACTCCATTTCATTTCACATTAGCGTCAGTAATTACACTCCACAAGCACGTTTACATGCAGTCACTGAAGCACAATAAAAGTCAGTAAATGAGGATTAAAGTTCCTTTGACAGTTTTACTGCTCCTCCCAAGAACATCAGCGCTTTTTTTTTTTTTTTTTTTAATTGAAGCAAGAACTTCATACAGCCCCAGGTCTGACTTCTTTTTATACGGCCAGACTGCTGCACAGCTCAGTGGAACCCGGGCAGATGCTGCTGGGCAGTAAAACAGTGGTGAAGTGTTAATGAATCTGAGCAGTATCCGATGAATCGCCGGGTCTTAAATCAAATGAGAATCTCTCCATAATGAGGAGCCTGTGGCTGCTAAAAACACACACACTGACACTTCTTCACTACTACATGTGTGTCGGTCGGGTGTGTTTGCACGTCTAGTGTGTTTGCACGTGTGTGTCCTTTCCCTTCTCCTCTCCAACAGGAAATTTCACGCAGCTGATCTATTCACCGACTCACAGCTGTGTCCTCTTTCTCACTCAGTCTCACAGAAAACACTTTCAGTCCAAATCTGGACTCAGATGAGATTTTGATGGATGCTATTTTCTAACCCGTATCCTCCATCACATGGTTTGTGGCATTTGAAAAGCTACAAGTGGTTCATTCAAGTCTGTGAAAGTGCCCTTGTTGGTGCTGATTGATTGTAGGCCATGTTTGACTCTTTTATTTACAGCATTTTCCAGTGTTTACTGCACATTTTTCAAATGTTTCATTCAGTAACCAAAGGCACAAGAATGTACATGCACTTCCAAAGGATTATGGGGGACCAGGATCTGAGTGATGTTGATCACAACTGAAGTTAAACAGAAGTTAAAAAGATGCTAATAATACTCTTAAATCTTTCTAAAAGTAAAAACTCTTGGTGCAGCCCACAAAGTGGGCCACAAACATTAGAGTAGAATTTCTTTTGGTCTGATGTTGGGTCATACCTAGGGTACTTATCTGGTTCATTATCAGGAGATTTACAATGTGGTTTACCAAATCTAATGTAGGTTTATCAAACAATTTAATATAATAAATGTGACTCATGAAACTTGTCTGGACCAGTGATTCCCAACCAGTGTACCGTGGAACACTAGTGTGACGTGAGTGATCATTACGTGTGCTGTTGAAAATTATCCAATTTCACTTAATTGGGCTGAAAATTATTATTTATTTATTGCATTGTTTATTGCTTTGCTCGTCAAAGCATGAGAGGCAGAGCAATTAAATCCTCTTCTGCTAGGTGGCAGCAGATGACTGAAAACTAAAAATATAATCAGAGCTGTTGAAGAAGATCTTTGTGAGTGTCTTTCATCAATTCCTGCCACTGTATCTGCATCTTTATAATCGTAACTAAGATTTTTAACCAGAACCTAAAATGTGGGAAACAAACTTCAAAGTCAGCTCCCAGAGAATCCTGGGTTCGATACCCAGAGAACCCACATGCTTGGCGCCTGCTGGGTGCAGCCTGTTAACAGCATATCTGCTGCTAACAAAACAATTTCCCAAATATGGGATCAATATAGTACTTTTTTTTTCTTCTTTTGGTGGTTTTTGCCTGGATCAGACCAACTGGGTTCTTTGTCAGGTCGTACTCAGGAAACACAGATACGTGGTAACGAAACTGTGGGCTACATTCCTCATACTGAGGCTCTTCTGACGCTGTTCTGGAAGAATCAGGCTTGTTTGTTAACTCTGGATAATGACAGATGATTCAGACAACACTGTCCTGTGTGTTTGTTCTGCACAAACCAACACATATACAAAAGTGCCCATTGTTTCCAAGTGGCCCATAAACTTCCTGGAAAAGGGCTTTTCTATTGGCAGACAACACTTTCAACCTGCCAGGAATCAACTACAACCACCAAGTTTCCAACTTCAACAACATTCATCAACAGCTCACGGTGAAATGAACTGAACTTCCAGGGCTTCCATCAATCACTGTCTCCTTGAACAGGTCACAACTCCATTTGTACAAATGATCTATACTTCAGAAACTGCAAGTCTGCACTGACCCAGATTCTCACAACAGTGTGTTTATGTGTGCATGTGTGTGTGTTCCAGGTGCAGCTATACTTGGGAAGGCTTTTTTTTAATACTATATTCATGGGGACACTTTGTCCTCATGGGGACATTTCGCAGGGGTTTTTTTGTATAGTAGATGTAGCGTGAATGATTAGAAACAGACTTTTTTTGTATAGTAGATGTAGTGTGAATGATTAGAAACAGACTGAGATTGAATTAGAGTTAAGGTCCGGATCAAGACTAATGACTGGATCAAGTATGTATATCTTTGTAATGGTTGGCTTAGATGTGTGTGTGTGTGTGTGTGTTTACCTTGAATTAGAGCAGTGATCTGCTGAGATTTAGGAGCAGGATGTTCTCTGAGGATCTCTAAAGCTGTTCTCCCTTTACAGTCTGTCAAATTCGTGTCGATTCCTGCAACACAAACAAACAGTCAGAATTAATCAATGGCAACGCCACTATTCTGGATTAATGAACTACTGCATAGATAGATTGATAGACACACAGACAGACAAAGATATATTAATATACAGATTCCAGATACAAATACAAGTATTGATAATAACCAATATCAATTGGTAATAATACAAGGTTTAAAAATGTAAACTTAATGTTATGACAAAAAAAGATCTTCTTTGTCCCATTTCTAGGCCGTGACCCAGTGTTTGGGAATAATTGATGTACACAGCACAGACTGTGACCCAACGTCAGACACATACACACACACACACACTCTAGTCAGCAAAACCTGAATGACTTTCAGTGAGCAGAGTATGAATGTAAGATTTTATTTATTCATGAAGACTCTTCAATTACAGCTTCCATTGAGTCATTTCACAAGAACACAGTCACCTCAACACCTGACTGTGCTGACCAACATTCCCAGACACTCACACACAATAGCTGGAGCTGCACAAACACACAAACAGGTTTAAAACAAAAATGAGGCAGAATCCCAAGACTCAAACTGAGAATCTTACTATCAAGTAAAAAACAAAGTGTTATTTCTTGCCTCTTTTACCTAAATGCTCTCAGTTCCCCTCCTTTTCTCCCCTGATTTGGTCCATTTGACATAAAAAATGCATGCACCTCCATTCTAGTCGCTCTACTGGGAACCACAAGAGACAGGAATAAAGGGAAATGAGTAAAAATGGAAGGAGAAGCACATTTAAATCTTACAAACTTTTAAAAACCTTTTCTCGTACTGTAGTTATTTTCCTCCTCTGTTTTTGTTTAGAGCATTCAATCAAAATGATTCAGCTGAAGGATACAAAAATAATAATGTATAATTAACACCTGATATCCAAGCTTGTCATTACGAACACATTCCCATCCAACAATTATGACCTCAGCCTTTTATGAGCCACAGCATAAATTTACATCAGAAAAATCCCATCAAAGAAACATGTTTTAAAAAATATATGTAATTTAAAATATGACTTAAAAAATGAAGATATAAAGTTGAAAACACTTAACTGGTGATACAATCTAAGTGAGATAAATTCACAAATGCCAAGAAGTAACTTTAATAATACGCTCAACAGTTGTCACCACAATACCCCTGATATGGCAGGAAGGTATTTGTGGTGTCCTTATTTGGGCGTCATCAGCTGTTTTCCTGCATTTTCCAAAGAAAAGTCACCATGTTTTATGTAACCTCAACCTCTCTCCTGCTGCAACTAAAGCACATTTATTCACTTGTCCTAATCCAGGAAGCTGAATTAAAGCAAGGCCAAAAGAACATGGCAACATACAGGAAGTGCTCCAGGAAACAGGAAGTCCTGGAGGAACGTGGGAGGGCAACGACCAAACTCTTTATACTCTCAACTGTATTTAGTTTACAAGGTTTATTCAACAAAAATGTTGTATCACTGTTTCGCATTAATGTTTTGTATTACTGTTACTATTTAACTATGGTTTACTACGTAGGTACAGTAATTTGAGTCAAACTCACTGACATAAACTTGATGTAGTACAATATAATCTAGAATTTAAAAACTAATTTGATAAATTATTTTGTTTTCTTACAGTTTAATTCTGTAAATTCACAAATGACTCATTAATGTAAGCCCTTCTACTGCAAAGTCCTCTGGGATTTGTTTTGGCCACTATGCCTTCAGAATACATTACTAAATCAAAGTAAAAAAAAACAGTACACCTTTAATTACTGAGGCAAATGGGCAAAGATGATAAAAAATAAAACACACACAAATGTTTGAATCTCACCCAAGGCTAAATTAAAACCACAATCTGTTAAACAAAAAAAAAAACACAAAAAATATTGCTTGTAGGCAAAAAGAGCCAGGAGGTAAAAGACAAATTGATAAAGTACATACGACTCTAATCAGACTTCTGTGGTGTTTCTTTGTAAATCTACCTGATTCCAGCAAAAGACGAACAACATCCATCTTCCCAAAGAGAGCTGCTTCATGGAGGGCACTGCCATTCTCCGTCTGAAGGAGAAGAAGGAAAAATATTAATATTCTATGGCTTGAAAACAAAGAGAAAAAAAGATGTACGAACTTTGTGGAGCAGAGAGAGAAACATGGCAATTCTATGGCTTGAAAACAAAGAGAAAAGAAGATGTAAGAACTTTGTGGAGCAGAGAGAGAAAATATCACAAGAAAAAGACTGAATTCGTGTCAGAGCTGGATCATTTTTTAATGACATAAATCTGCAAAACTGAGGACCGATTCATAACTCTCTTAAGGTTAGGAAGAGCTACAAAGCAGTGAAGCAGTCTGCTGTCAAGTCTAATCAGTGGAAAACATTTTAAGTCAAGTTCAATTTGAGTTCCCAGGGTCTGCTAGGATTTTGAAGAATTGACTCCAGATTTAGTTCGAATTCATGTTTGTATGACGTTAGAAAATAATGAGTCAAGTTATAGTCAGTGGTGTCTCAGACCAGTCCATGAAAATCCAATTCACCTGTTATTCTTTTTTGAAGCTTCCAAAGTGGTGTGGCGCCCCCTGGTGAAAGCATGTCTCAAATGTATTGTAACCTTGAGCTAAGCTAATATAAGTTAGCCAAAAAGTATAATAAAAAAATTAGTTGTCTGACCAGACCAACCCCAAAATAAAATGTATTTTACTAACATTTCTTAGTTAAACATCGAACTGAAACCCAGCCCAGTTCTTATCCCGTGGTGTCTTCCAATCTGCTGCTTCTTCTCTCGTTATTCGTCACGCATGTTTGCATTAACAGGGCCGGATTCACTGTTTTAGGCCAAGACGATTCAAACCATTACCCGAGCAGAGACAGTCTGTGTGGAAACTGTCCCGCTCTCTACCTCATGCTCCAGCTCCTATATGCTACAACGCCGCTAATGGGAACGTTATTGATGTGATGCAACACATGGAAAGTGGAGCAGGACAGCTTTGCTTCAAAATGCGAGATCTGGGACCAGCAGGGATAAAGGAGACAAGCCCACTTCTGAAGAGACACAGTCTAATCAAACAGCAGTTTAATCATTCACCATGGGAGTACAGCTCAGTATACAGGCAGTACTGCAGCCCAGAGATGCTAATGCTAACGACAAACGTGTACGTTATTTTTTCCTATTCCTTTTTTTGACAAGTTTTACCGTGATGATTTTTTAAATACATTTTTGATCTATTAATGAATCAATTTTTTTGCTTTCTTTTAGTTATCGTTTTAACCTTTTGTTTGACTTTTAGACAATTCTCTTTTTTCACATTTTTGGTAAAGATTTTGCTAGATTTAAGCTTTTTCATTTTTTTTAATTAATGCTTTATTATGGAATTGTGATGGTTTTTCAATAACGTTACTTATTTCTATGGTAAAATCTGAACTTAGTTTTAGTGAAAATGAACATTTACTTACTTTGTGTCGTTTGACTATTTTGAATGTCAGTAACCTTCAGCTTTTTCAAAATCGTTGGTTAGTTTTCAGTTCTTTTGTGGTAACATTTCTGGCTTCAACTTAAGGCATTACTGTCTCACATCAGGTTTTTTTACTTGCAATCCTGAACAAACCCCAAACTTGCATGAGTGTTGTGTGATATTTCTTTTCTCTCAACAGCCACAACCGTTTTCAAGAATATCAGATATTTAAGCAACATTTTGTCTCGATCCAAAATAATCTCTAAACCTGCCTCATCCAACATCCTGGAGGCAAGAACCAAAACGCCTCAGGGACACAACAGCCTGACAACAAGTTCAACTCACACTCAGTGACTTCTCAAATGAACATTTCAAGCTAACACACATGCAGATCAACATGCAGAAAATCCTGCATTCATCACATCCTTCAAGGTCGGTTTCCTCACCATGCAGATTTAAAAAAAAAAAAAAAAAACCTGACCAAACTCCTGCGTCTAATGATGATAAATTGTGTGGAGGACAGCCAGCTCGGATCATACATCACCAGCTGGGACACTGCACCACATCAACAACCGCTGCACGAAGTTCTGCCAAATTCACGTTCGGTGCTCTGTTTCCTCCACAACACAAGTGTCAGCACCAAGGAAACATGAGACAGATGAAGAAAACAAAGAAACAACCTCAAATGTTCCCTTTACAGCAGAAGATGAAGGTGAACGTGTTCGTCGAGTCACTGAGGGAATCAACGAGTGGAAATTAAGGATGTTGATCCAACGGTGTGGGCCACAAGGAAACAAGAGGAGGTGGGAGAGGAGGAAACAAGCAGAGGAAATTATGCTCCCATTTCACACACACACATGGCCTCCTGGCCTTACCCCGCCTCACAGTCACCTCTGCACCACTTCCTGTCCTGTTTCCCACAATGACTTTGCAGTGATGTCACAAGGCAAACCAGGAAGAGATTTTCCCTCCTACAGATTTTCCATGAATTGAACGTGAGTTGACTTTCTGTTTAAAAACAGAGACCCAACAGTCGCTTGAGGATGAGGGTAATAGAGTAACACCCGCAAACACTGTGTCGGGAAACCGACTGGACCTCAGCAGCAGTTTGTTCTGCATGGAGTTCTCTTTTATTTTTATTTAAAGACAGGATCCGAAAGGGAAATTGAGGGAGGGAGAGAAAGAGAAAGAAAGATATAAATATATACATATATATTTTTATTTATTTATAAATATATATTATATATATATATATATATAGAGAGAGAGAGAGAGAGAGAGAGAGTTTGACTGTGTTGAATTATTCATTCACACTCAGACAGACCTATGGCTTGACTCCAATTACTGACCTGAACAATTTTACTATATCCAGATATACACACCCTCTCCTACATGGAGAGACACACACACACTCACACCTGCAGACACACACTCTGTCTGTCACACATGCATTCATGCAGACCCACTCTCACACACACACTCTCTCACTGACAGACACTCCACCTGTGCAAGAAAACCCTCAATATTCCAACCCCCAAAAAAACTAACAACACTGCAAACACAAATATTGAGCAGCAGGTACAGAAGGTCGAATGACCAAATCAAAGACATGTGGCGTTCGTTTTCACTGGACACATGGAGCCTGAGGCCAAATCCCTGCAGAGAAACACAACCACAGCCTCTTTGGATCAAAAACACACACACACACACAGGCTGCAGCAAGGACAGAAGGCAGAGAGGAGGAGCTCCTCCAGGCTGAGTCATCTCCTCCCTGTGGGAGAAGCAGGTCCACTCTGGTTTCCGACAGGTCAAGTTGTATCTCATCATTTCACGGATACACATGGACCAACACAAACACACACACATGTCTATTTCCACACTGCTCTGGCAGAACACAGTGACAGAATGTTGGTGATAACCTGCTCTCCTCAGCACATTTGTTTTCTCACACTCACTGATCTCTGTCATTTCATCTCCTTCGCCATGTGCTGCATAAAAAAAAACTGCATACGAACAGTAAAATGAGCAACACACACTCCATCCAATTCCACATGCTAATGTCAATATCCCACATGGCCCGGCCCTGCGCTTTGCTGTGACAAATGGATTCTGTTTTATAACTAAACATTCTCAGGTTGTGCTCAAAAATCAATTTTGAGAATTTTTTTTGATAATGTCTCTGCAGCTTTTTGACACTCACAAAAGTCAAAGCCCCTGAGGCTGATTTTCCATGTATCTTTCTGGTATGTGAACACACACAGACCTGATCTGAGAGTCAAAGACTGAAGGAAGGCTTTCCATAGGATGCCTGAGTAAAAGAGTGAACCCAGATATAAAGATACTGACGTTGAACATTTTTTTGAAATGCTTAAAACGGACAAAAACCGCACAAAATATACTCTTGGGAATTTAACCACAAAAAGTAAAAACAAGGAAAATTCAGGTGAATGTTTGCCAAAAAGGTGCATAAGATGCCAGAGGATCATGGTGGATTCACAAAAACACATGGAAATGAGCTGAAATAATTCTGTTTTTCAAGGTGGACGCCAGAGAGAAAGATCCAGTAAAAATGCTAAATATACTTTTTCTGAAGATACTACAAATGTAAAGGAAGTGTTGAAGATTCAGGACATTTAAGGCACAACACGTCTTCCTCCTCCTCCTCTTTCTCCACTCGTAGACTTTCCTCCCAATCAATTATTCATCCCTCTTCAGCAGCACACCATAGGAGGTGTGGACTGCACATGCTGCCACAAACGCACTCAGTTGAAAGTCTGCCAAGCATTTTGCTAAAACAGGGTTATATTTACTGAAAAATTACTACCATGGATAGATAAACACAACTTTATTTATCCCTCGGGAATTCCCTTTGGGAAATTAAGGAAACATTCAGCATCATAAGAATAAAGAAATTCCCCGTCGGAGAATTTAACCCAGGTCTCCCGCAAGACAGGCGGAGATACTAAAGAAGAGATGATAATAATTTATCACAATATGTTAAAAATCAAATTTTCTTTTTTAAAATTTTGTTATTTTGACCTTTAGCTGATCCTGCTGTTACCCTGATTCTTCCCTGAACCCATCTGTGGCTCTGACTGCACCACTGTCTGAAACCCCAGGTTTGCAGTAAAACGTATGAAAAGCTTCCTCACCACACAGTTGACGTCCATGCCGGCCTCCAGCAGGGTCTGCACCGTGCTGTGGTGTCCATTCCTGGCAGCCAGGTGAAGCGAAGTGTGTCGGCGAGTGTGGCTGGTCATCAGGTTGGGGTGAGCGGTGACCAGCATGCGAACCACCTGCACAAAACCACACGTCAGACAAAAACCCAAGGCAGATGAAGCTCAGATGTAGAAGTAGGGGTTTTTTTATATAGTATCACACACATCTCATGTCATAAATATGTAAATAATAAAATGTAATTGTAAACAACTGGTGTTCCAAGTGGACCACCGGCCTTCATCACACAACTGCCCCCCCACTCAGCATCCTTCCCTTTTTTTTAACCTTGTTTTGCCTGAATTTCAAAGTCCTGTCACTCCCCGTGGCTGCAGTATGTGTGTGTGTATTTTTTTAGCTTCAGTGGTGCAGCTACTATTTTTATCCTCACTCTTCTTTTTATAGCTTCGCCTCAATATCGACGGGTTCTCTGGAAAGCTCCCTCCATTAACATGTGTGTCTGTACCTCCCCGTACGTGTGTGTGTGTGTCTGTGTGTCTGTGTTTGTGCACATCATAAACTTTTGCCCTGTGTTAGTTACAGTTTCACACAGCAGTAGCCTCCACCACAGGGATTTCCCTTCATTATTAGCAGTGAGAGTCCAAGTCTGGGGGGGGGGGTGGGGGGGTAAGGCAACTCGCTGCTGACTTTAGGGGGGGAGGAGGGTAAGGCAACTCGCTGCTGACTTGATACATTATTCATCCGCACATCCTCAGTCAAACCTGCGTGTGGCACTGCCTCATTTTCTCACAACCTGAGCAAATGGAATGCGAGGCTGCATTTGAACGTTGGCAAACCTTATCACAGCAGAACACACTTGTAAAGCTGTGACCTGTTGTCGCAGTTTTGACAAAAAAAAAGAAAAACCCAAACTGGGTACCCGTTTTTTTCCTTACTGAATTCCTTCCCGAGACATTTTTCAAATAATCGTCAACATTGCTCTGCGGTGCATGGACTCTTTGTAATGCACGGTACCCCTCACACACACTGTTGTCCTGAGGAACAGGCAGATGAAGACACCAGCTGCTGTTTTCACCTCAGCCAGGAGCCCTGCCAGAACTCCTGATGAATGCAGATGTTCACGCGTTTCCCTCTTTTCTCCACCTTTACAAGCTTAATCTTTAAGGACTGACTTTGCGCCGACTGTCTCAGACATGTTGACAGATGGATAATTAATGGTTTTAGTTGCTGACCACCTGGAAAATGTGGTTCAAACTAGGGATGGCTGGATACCATTTTTTCATGTCCGATACCGAGACTGTAACAATACGATACTTCTTTTCTCCTCCAGCATGTAGTGGAACAATTCTGAGTGGACATATATTAACTGACTGAGGTGTGTGAACCCACACTCGTTGTTGTTCCTGTGACCCTGGAAGTAGTACAAAATGGTTGGATAGATGTGTGTCAAGAGGACACATTGTGTGCCTGTCCATTTACATTGGCCATAAAGGCTTGTTCTTCACCTCTTCCTCCTTAACAACAGCCACAGCTATAAGCTGCTAAAATATGAACTTTCCTGTTACCTGAAATGACTTAAACCTTCACTTTTTTTTCTCCCATCTGTTCTCCTGTGTGTCAGACTCAAAAAGTAATTTTACTTTATTAGGCTTCACTGCCCTTTATATTACCATGACTACCTCATTCATTTCAAAGGCTTCAATCTCCGGAGACAGTTTTAAGAACTTCTAAATGTAAATGAGACTCCAACTTTCAACAGGGTCAGACGTTTCCTTTATCAATTCCGGGGCTTAGATGACAAAATATATTGTTGTGGGACTTGGATTGTCACCCACCATGGACTTCACTCAAACTCTACATCAAGCCTAAAATCAAAAAATTAAATTTCTTTGAACTGAGTTACTAAAGCCCATGACTGAGTTTAATGCTAAAGCTAACAAAACACTACACAACGTTGACAGCCAGAGTACCCGTTTGAGTACCTGAGGAATGGGGGGTCTCATTGGGGCTCTATGACTTGAGATCTTTTTGAGACGAGGGTGAAAGCTGAGTCGACTGGACACGGACTCAACCATCTGACTGCTACACGATAGCACGACATCCTTTAAGACAGTCCAGCTATCAATCTTCACTGTCCACTCCTATTCACGATCACCGGCGATCACATCCTTTAAGACAGTCCAGCTATCAATCATCACTGTCCACTCGTATTCACGATCACCGGTGGTGCTTCACTGCCACTTGGCTACAAATCAAGTGACATGTGAGCTCGCTATCTTTTTCTTGGTGATGTAAGTGAATTCAAACGGAAACGGAACAATCTGAACTCTCCATACCTGGAGAACCGGAGGCTGGAAAACATAAAAGAGCGTTAAAGTCAATGACCTGCAGTCGTCCGTACAGCGCTGCCAGATCCAGAGGCGTCTCCTGCTGACTGTTTCTCATCGTAGGGTCCGTCAGCTCCTGCAGCAGCACTGAAACCACCTCTGTGTGTCCATACTGGGCTGCACAGTGGAGAGCCGTCTCCTTCTGATGGTTCTGTGAAAAAGAACAAAAAAAAAAAATGACTGCAGGATGAGTAGGAGGACGATGAACAGCAGACACGCCAGGGGTTAGGTGAACAGATCGAGGTGGAGAAACCTAATACAGGAAGAACTGAGGGATGGAGGGAGGCAGGAGTGAAGGTCAAAAGTAAAGAGGAGAGAAAGACTGGATGGGATTAAAGGTACAAGGACCAAGCAGCTTTTACAAGAAGCTTAGAAAAAAGTTATTGAATGTAACCTTTAATTTAATTATCAGTTATGTTTTTATTTGTGACTCATCCAGGTGATTATTAATATGGAAAATGCAAAGATTTAACACAAAATGTAGCTTCATATAGTTGGTGGATTTCACTTATTATTGTGCATCTTGATAGGGCAGGTAGGGCCCTACTGTTGTAGAGAGTTCTTTATTTATTGGTTCTTTCCGTCTCTCCCTCTATTTCATATTGGATTTTCCCTGGACGGTATTCCCCGATGAGAATGTCATCTTCAATACAACACCCATCGATACCACTTCAGTTCACGGAAACAACATTGTTCAGATCTTACTCCCATTGTCCCTGGAGCTGCATCCCTTCTCCTCCCTCGTCTTTCATCTGGATCCAGATCCTTACTTTCATTTACATCGTTGAGTTAAAAGAGATTCAGTATTTTGTTTGAAGAATAAAAAAAATATTCCCCACACGCAAAGATATTCACGTGACCAACAGCCTGTGAGATGGTGACTCGACCAATCAGTTTCCACGCTAGTAGGACACGCCCCCCCCATTCACAGCAGAGAGGAGCGTTGGAGTGCAGCTGCGCTGTGTACTGTAATCTCAATAATCACTCTCTTATCCACCCTGAGTGCAGTTTACTGGGGTAATTATTGGTTGCATTGGTTTAATAAACTCCACCTGCTCTTCCTGAGCGAATACTCTACTGTGTTATTGTTTTCCACAGGAGTGGCAGTATTCCCACAGGAATCACTTCGCTTTAATCTCATCTAATATGATACATACACAGTATATTGTCGTCATAATGCAGTAATATTCTCCTGCTCTGTCCTGAAATCACTGGGAATGCAGAGCAATCAGTTATAATTAGTTGATGACATCGAGTGAAGGATAAAATGGATTTTCTTTTTTTATTTACTCTTCGAGGCTTAAGGCAAAAGAAGCAGAAAACTAAAGACATAAAACTCAATTTGGTGATGTTTCAAATAAAGATGCTTCCAATATTAATGAATGAATAATAATGAATGAAAAATGAAAAAGAAACTCGTGATGAATAGCAGGCGACAGGGTAGAGAACAGCAGTAGAAAAATTAATGGCACCTTCAGCCACAATCCATTATTTGTATTCTGCAGCCGTGTCAGTGAGAACCAACACAATAGCAGCTCAACCTTTACTACTACTGACAAAAAAAAAAAAAGAAGGACAAAACATCAAAGATGGCGAACATATTTGCAATACAATAAGTCCTCAGAATAGCAACATTATATAATAACCTGACTGGGTAACGCCGCATAGGATGTCCATACCAACCTACTAATTTCTCTTATGGGTTCTAATGCCCTAACAATTGTTATTGGGTAGGGAAAATAAAATTAATAAAATTGTTTGTATTAACTACAATTGTTATTGGGTAGGGAAAATAAATTACAAATTGTTTGTATTAACTTTTATAATCAAATCGTGACAATTTTTTTATATATATATCGTGAATGTGAATGCGAAAAACCCGAGGTAGCCTTTGATTCACCTCGAATGAAATAACCCAGGATGGTTATGATGGAGAATAACGTGCTGCAAGAACACTAACCATTGGAACCCTTAGGGACCGGTTTTCCACAAGAACTGGTAGTGGATTAACATCACCTGTGGTAGCTCAAAAGCAGCTAAAAGCATAGCAGTCAATATCTAGCTTATGGACAAAACTTCTTTTTTAAATTAAAGTGATCCAAAAGGTCACATAAATGGTCCAAATAAAACCAAATCGATGTGTCTACAGTATGTTTCTGCATTACTCTCAATCTCTTTCCAAAGTTCAAAACAAGCAGAACACACTCTAAATTTGATCTGAGTTTTCAAATCATACCTTGTGTGTATACAAGTACTATGGTGTGGGAGAGAAATGAGTAATGAAGGTGACCTCAGTGTGTTAGCAGCAGTCCAATTAATGGGTTTGAATAATTTACGGTGGCCTAGGGGAGTCAAATATTACAATTGGCAATAGTGTTGTCAAAAATGGGGTCAGAAAAGACTTAAGTCTTTAGGTAAAGACTTTTTATTTTTCTCCACTCGGTGGGTGGGATTTCATCAGAGATTATGCAGAGGAAATTTAACAACTGCAAAACACAGCCTACACTGCTGTACACACACAAACACACACAAATACAAACATAAATCAAGACAAATACTAAAACAGCTGGGACTTTAAATCTCTACCATTGTCTGCAGTCACTGAGCCTTTGTACAGCCTTGAACGCACAATAAAGCCTTTGTTTTGTTGGGCCTCGTGCTCACTGTTTGGATAAAATGCAATATTTCTACAGTAAACTGAACAACTAAAAAGTAAACAGACAGAAGATGAGAGCTTGCGGTGAAGTGGAGCAGAAGAGAAGAGCTGTAGGAGAGAGAGAGAGAGAGACTATACGTTCAAATTACACACGCTCTGACAGTTTTCCAATTTCATCTTTCACTCGCTGCATTGTTGCTGATTGGGCTCCGAGCATCAAGCATCCACTAATGTCACATCACGCAGCGAGGCAGCACATTATTGACGTGTCCATAGTGGATGGATGGGATGGTTGTCCTTTGGCCACATGTATGGATTTGACGGACAGCGAAGGACCCACAGATGTGAAGATCCTGTACGATCAAAAAGATCCACATCTGAGCCGTTTTTATCCAATCAGCTGCATAGTTTATTACAGGAAATTCGTTTTTTTTAAATTATTTTCTTTAAGTATTCATTTTCATTTCAATTGTCATTTCGTGATTTATGGTATATTTTTAATAATAATTCAGTTTAGTTTGTCCTGGATTAAACTTTATATATCTTTCAACTAATTGTACCATTAAATTTAACCTTTGTACTTACTAACCCAACTAATTGTACCATTAAATTTAACCTCTGTACCTACTAATTAGCTACTGTATATTTTTTGCTTTGATTAACATTTAAATTAAGTGAAACATCAATTCAAATCTTTGGGGTTTTTGTTCGTATTGCACTGTCTGGATTTAATTTATAAAACTAAAGTGCATTTGTACAAAAACGAAGAAACCCAATTAACATTCTTGATTACAGTATCAAAAACTAAATCCTCATCCTCAGCAGGAGCCGTTGGCCCTCAGGTATTTTACCATCACGGAATCTTGCTGACGCTGGACTAAAGTTTGGACAACTTTGATGTAGTGTGAGTGAAGTGTCTCCTTGATTATCTCTGAGCTGAAGGACACACACAGAGCATCTACCGCAGACACGCAGACCACTTTCCTTCACACACACACACACACACATACATACACACACACACACCCCAGCCCACACACTTGTCCTGGTAAACACTATCAGCTCTGTCTCATTTCATCTCCATGAAACCAAACAAACTAAATCCATGCAAATAAGCCAGTCTTATCAGAGGAGCTGCTGCTGTAATGAAGCCCTGGAGGTGAAGCACAGGATTTCTTTTCATTTCTAACGTATACCATGTAAATGCTGATGGACTGACACACGGAACAAACTCTATCTCTGTTACATAATCTCATAATCCCAGCAGCTGAGCTCACTGCACTGGGGAGAGCTTGACAAAGTAAGAAAAATATGGAAAACTGCAGTAGGAAACATATAGTGTATATATGACTTTAAACCTTCTTCTGCCTCCTGGGTTTTTTTGCCTAATGTTATTTAATGTGAGCATATGTTGCCATTTTCATGCATGAAACACAGTATATATGGTGAAATACGGCACGTGATATGAAAAGTCTGACATTTGTATAGAGCCTCAGTTCAGGCTGAAGGGAGTTTGTTTACGCACCGGGAAAGACAGGCAATAACTATAAACTCTGAGGAATGGGGAGGATAACAATGGAGGGTCAGCCCGTCATAAAACAGTCCTTAAACACATGTAGGTTTTATCTAATGTGCTGCCCCCCTGAGGCGTGGGCTGAAAGTTTCTTTTAAAGGATTTATCTTAAGGATGTTACTATTTATATGGGAATCAAATATTCAATCCGTTCGAGGCCGACTGAATCCAATCAAACCGTATTAAGATGAATCCAATCCACCATAATCCAGTCCAATCCAGTCCAAACTCATAAGTAGAACTCCACAAATTAGTTTCACACCAACGCATTCATTATTTTACACCAACGATTATTTTAGAGTACAAGAGTCATTTTTGATTCTCAGTGGCTCTAAATACACACACTCATAAACCGTGGGTCACCTGAGGGGGAGTTTTGGTAAGTACTGGCGAGGGAATGATGTCATCTTGTGTCTGAGGTCATTTTGGGCTAAGACTAGTGCAGCACTCACATGAACTTCATGTGAAAATTTGTAAATTAAGACTATTTCCAATCCCAATTAACGGTGATTAGCTAGCCCTGCCTGAGGGTTTTCTTCATAGATCCAATCAAGCAAAACTGAAAGGGAGATTTTCCTCAGCCCCGTTGCTCCCGGGGGGACATTGACTTTATCACTAGGCACGTCTCAAAGGCTGCCAACTCCCTGTTTTTGTCAGACTGTTAAAGCACTTTGAGCTGCATGATTGTATGAACCTTGCTATACAAATACAGTAATGTTCTGCCGTTAGTAAGCAAGTCAAAACTCCCCCTTAAAGTTCCTCAGTCTGAAACATCAGACTGTGGTTAACATATGACATAACAGTTCTCCTAATGAAAATTTATGGCTACATGTGACTGTGTGTGTCCTGGCAGCAGCAGGATGGAAGTCATTGGTCTGATGTTCGATGAAGAATTTTCCCAGAGCAGCGTTTACTGTTACAGTAGCATGTGTTCACACATGGATCATAAAGAAACATATGGTTTGCTTTATTTGAGGGAGTGGCATCACCAAGGCTGTGAGATACACCACCACCGTCAGAACCACGTGGAGAACATCTGTGGAAACCTACAGGTGCTGAAGAACCTTCTGACCCTTCCCCTGAGTTCACAGGGGTTTACAGCTTCCCAGAACCCATTGCACCTGGATCTAGGCATGTAGGGAATTTCTTAACACTTAAAGTGACAACAAAGGAAATATGTGATACTTTTGATGTGGAACGACTGCAGTACTAGTGTTCACAGTGCATGCGAAAGAGAAGATGGAAGAGAAGGATTTCAGAGAAAACATCAGTCCATCTTTCTGTTGGTGGAAAAGAAAACATTCCTGGGGTGTATCTGGGACTCAGCGGGACGTACATGACCTGGTTTGTCACGTACATGAACACAAAATACTTCTTACACTGTCTCATCAAGAGGCCCACGCAGAAGAAAGCCCAAAGTTACACGCTGGTTCCCACACACACATCTGCTCTGTGTCAGCGGGACTAAAAATCCCTAACCGGTGACCCCAGTAACAGACTAAATAGCTTTGCTCTGGGTCAGTAACAAGAGGTGGAAAGTGCTGAAGTAATTAGGTTTGTTTCGGGTTGTTTTCCTACCATAAGTTCTGTTGGTTCACATACTTTGGTCTGGTCTTCTGAGCATTTTGCTTGAGGGTAAGGCAGTGTCAGAGGCACTGTTGCTTAAAGTCAACTTGAACATTGTTGCTGCCCATTGTCCATCATTTAACTGAGAACTGAGAGTCATTGTCTCTCAAACACACTCCTGAACACAACATGTATACTCTATAATCCACTACCAGTCCCAGAGTCCCCTAACCTCACACATGTGCTCAGACAATTAACAACCACAGCTACAAGTGAGCAGTTCTGGGAACTATTAGGCAGTAAAAACTGGGCTGGAACTGATTTACCGCCAAACAAATAACATCCAATTACCAGCCAAAATAATTGTCTACTGGCCGCGGCCTCAAACTGGCTAACCTTAACAGTTCTGGCTGCTCTTTCACTATCAATCTCTTCCTCTTTTTCTTTTCACGCTCTCAGGACCTTTAACACCATTTACAGCTGTCTCCTGTCTCCTTCCTACCACTGTTGTCACTATTTGTCTCCCCGCGAACACAAAGGCGACGACAAATGTTGTGTTTCCCTCCGATGTTAAAACACAGGGTGCAACCCTTCGCCGTGAACACCCAATAAAAGTCGGCTGCACAGACATATGAGTGCACACTCAACCTCTGACTTGTGTAATGTTGAGCGTGGGCTGGGGATATGATTGGAGGACGGGGTTGATGTGCGAGTGGTCGTACGTCTCGATGATGGGTGCGAGCGCGCTGTCAGAGTTGATAAATCAGGCTGACGAATGTATGCAGGCCACCAGGTCTCGCTGTAGACAACGACAGTGTGGAGGGAAAATATGGCGTTTATAAGCATCCTGAATACAGGCACCATCAATCTTTGCTCCAGGGACAATGTGACAGTGACAACACATGAACAGGGTGTAAGGGAAAAACACTGCCGGTC